AAATGTGTGGTTGAAACCGGAAATGTGCTGTAGGGGGACAAAGCAGCATTTTGTTTGGTTTCTCTTCAAATGCTAAGCCCGGGGATCCCCGGCCAAGAATCTCCAAGGAGTGGCAAGAAAGCCGAAGTCTTTTCCAGACTGTGACCTCTGTAAAAGGGACCCCCGGTTCCTGGGTGGCCGCCGGTCATTCTGCGCATGCTCCGAGCCCGGGTGGGCGCTTCGGCCTTGTGACGTGTGTTTTCGCCAAAACCGATCTGTGTGCGTCGTGCGGCAATGTCATGTATCGAATGAAGACGAGCAGGTGACTTTTGAGAACTTAAAACAAGACCTTTCCATAGACCCAAGGAGCCAGTAATAATGTAATTTCGGGGCCTTCGGATTGTACCCATTCGAGAGGAAAACTGTGTCCGGAAAGAGAAAGGGCAGGCCAAAGTGACCCAGACACTCAAGGAACAAAAGTCTGTGTGACGCCTGAGATCCAGAATGGTGTATCGGTTCAGAACCCCACCCACTCATACTGCTAATTTTCTTTACAAGATAGAAATACATGTTACAGAGTTCCAAAACACCGAGAGACCAGATTCGACTTAAATCATAATTAGCCAAATTTTTATCTTTAAGCTGCCGCTGTCCTTAGTTTCCGTGAGCTAAAAGGAGAAGAGGGCTTTTAAAGCAGGTTACAATTACTTCATCCCTGTGTAATTTGCAGCTCTATGAGGAATTGCCTCACTGTCTGTGCATAACGATAAACAGTTTACAGAAACCAGAGCAAGCAGTTAATCATGTCATAGCAGTTTTACACTTCTGGGGAGGGGGCAAAGAGTCACAGTTGCAGGAGCTTGCCTTTTAGGAATTTAAAACGGGTACCTCCTTAAAATAACGTTTTCCTTAGCCTTCACATACAAAGTAGTCTATCTGAGCCCCTTCGGTTGTCTCATGCCTGTAATCCCAGCATTTGGGAGGCTTGGGCAGTAGGATGGTCTGTAAATGTGAAGCCATCCTGGACATAGAGAATTCTAGTTCCAGTCCTGGGGTACAAAATGAAAATGCCTCAGACAGAAAGAAGCCTCAACAGGGCAGAACCCTTCTGGTCCATGCAAGAAATTCCCAGTATCACTTGTTTACAAACAAGAACAACAAAAAGCCTTAAAAAACAAATTGAAGAATGTTAAATCATTAATCCTTAGATAGGTATATATGATACTTTATAAAACTGTGATTTTGAATTCAATCCCAGAGACCCACAAGGTAGAGCCAACTCTTGAAAGTTGTCCTTTGACTTCACGTGCTGTGACACACACAAAGACACAAGCACAAAAATTAATGTACTTTTAAAATTATAAAAACACAAAACTAAAATGTTTTTTAAACTGGTTTCTTTAAAAAAGGGAAGGGGAATGAAAAAAAATAATGTCCATATGTGTGTCTTTTTAATCAACAGATATATATATATATATATATATATAGATATCTTGGGCTTGTTAGAAATAAAACAACTAAATTTTGTGTCTTAGCCATTCTTTAAAAGATTTTGTTTATGTGTATGAGTGTTTTGCCTTTGTGTATATATGTTCACCACATCCGTGCCTAGTAAGGAGAGGGTTTCACATCCCCTGGAACTGGAGTTAAGGATAGTTGTGACTCCCCACATGAATGCTGGGAACCAAAGCTGTGTTCTTTGCAAGA